AGAGTATCGGGTTAACACACTACTCTTAACTATTGTACACTGTAACCTGGGAATAAATAATCAGTATTAAATACAAGTACTTTCCCTATTGTCAAGTCATTTGAAAATAATTTTTGTGCACATTTAACTCAAAGTACAAAACTTTTTCTATAAACTTCTACCACTAAGACTGCCATGTCATAAGTGGAATGCTTACACATGCACTATTTAATTTCAAAATATAATTTTTGTCAAACAACGCATCCAAGCCATTCCCACAAGTATAGAATAATACAGTTGGAATAGTTCATTTAGTCTTGGCTTCCTAAAAGAAAGGACACTGAATTCTTGAAAAGGTTCAAAGAAGGGCTACTAGGATGATACCTGGAATGAAAAGGTTGTCATACAAGGAAAGGTTTAACATCTCTGAAATTTTTTCTTGGAAAAAGAAAAGTTAGAGGGGATCTGATTGAGGTGTTTAAGATTGTAAATGGAATTAACAATGTTAATGCATCATCTTTTGTACATCATTGTGAGAATAGTATGACTAAAAGACATAAGTATAAATTCTGGCAGGTTAGGATTTATCATAATCTAAAACAACTATATTTTTCTAACATAGTTGGCCTCTGGAATGGACTATCTGCCTTTAATCTAATGGAGTATAAAAGAAGGCTTGATAAATATTGATAAGGTTGGGTTTTGAGTATTTTAATCATATTTTAAAATTTAGTACTGGATGTCCTAGATACATTTTCCTTGTTATTCCTTAAATTGCGAGTATGTATATTTTAAAATATTTTGGGGATATTTTAATGTAATACCAAATTGACAAAAAATAAAAATAAAAAAGGTGCACAATATGCTGGATATGAAAGTCTCCACCCTACTGTAGGGTGACCACTCGGATACAAATAATTGGTAAAACTGCTGTTTAGCGGCCTTTATTCCATATTGGATGTTTGGTCAAAATATCACCTTGATTTTTGCTAAATATGATGAGTTAAAAAATAATGCAACTCTAATCCTATAGATTAGAAAGCCAACAAAACTAGCATTTAACTGGCCAAAATTTACTGTACCAGAATCTGTATGTACATACTCAGATCTGATTTTTAGCAAATTATTTATCATAATATACTCAAAATCTAATGATGTTTTATATGGGGAACATTACAAAATATTATATAAAATTATGCATACAGTAGATAAAAACACCATATAAGCTAACTAGTTACTAATACTATAATAAAACATTAACAGAAGCTTAAGTTTCTACTGTCACAGAAACAGCCATACTAGTACTAGTTAGCCCCAGATTATGAAATTAGCTCTGGTCAAGACTTTCATATCATAAGGAATATTTTTTCAAGAATTTTAATAACAACTGAAAAAATTAAAGTGTTTGCTTTGAATGTTAATTCTTTGTTAAACCAAAAACTCAAAGTAAAACTAATTTTATGCCCCAAAATCCAATATGGAATATAGGCTGCTAAACTGTAATTTTACTAAATTAATTCCTGTTCCCTAAGCTGAAGCACCAATTTTTAGTTTAAAAGTTTGTTAATCTTAAAATGCATAAGAAATTTAATCTAGATAGATAAAAACGAAATGTTTGTTTCCTTTTACCCTAATTCATCTGAGCCTATTGTACTAATCTCAAACAAAATTTGTATGTAAACACTATGAACTATGGGGAATGTCCTAAGTGGGTCAAAACTGAACTTAACCCTATTTCTATTTTATAAAGACTGTTGGTTAATTACTCCTAGCCAATTGAGTCAATCTCAAACAATCTTGACAGGTTGATGCTTTAGACAGTACTGAATATTCTAAAGGGTTTCAAAGTCAAAGTATGAAAGTTGCTGGATTGTTTCTCAAACAAACAAGCTTTTCTCATGGTCAATGAGATGTAGGGTGTTCAAAGGTGGGATCACCTCAAAATCTTTATTTGTTGTCTAGATGGAAAGCAAACTGAAAATGTTGTTCATGAAGAAACTTTGTTATAATTTTTAAATTTTGAGATAAAGTTTATGTTCAAGTTATAACTTTGATATATACGATTGTTAAATTTATATTGTTTTAATTAAGTTTAAACATTCTCTGTCAGTTGAAAGATATTTAATTTTCTAAAACGCAATTTACCAACACTGAAATTTAACACAAAAGACGTTCCATACATTCTCACACTCAGAGAAATTGTCAAGTACTATATTTCAAGCAATGCTAAGACTGTGAAACAGAAGTAATAAAACATAAAACTAAACAGACCTATGTTTAGCTTATGCACAGGTTAAGTTAAAAAATAATCTGAAAGTAATCAAATTGGTAAAACTCCAATTTACATTGTAAATTATAATTAAAACTATAATTTTGGGTATAATAAAAGTTGGGTAAATCTAAATTAGTCGAACAGTTGACTGTCTTCAGTAACACTGAAAATTTAAATTATATTTATAACTTCATGTGTAGTATTATTTTCAATATGTTTTTAATAGTTCAAATAAGTAAAAAATTCTTATGGTTTAACAAGATGTTTATATGTCACATAATGTTTTATCATGACTGAGACAATATGGCGGCGATTCTATTCTAGGGTTGCCGACCCAAACACTTTCTTGTGGCTACAGTACATGCTACATTAGCCTGATTAGGCTACACTGAATTACACAAGTTCACTTAGCTTATGTTTATAAGTTACAAATGTTTTTACCTACACTAACCTTCAAATTTAGAATCGAGTCAAAATAAGTTGAAGTAGGCTATTTCCATGAAAAACACTTGTAAATTAAAATATTATGCAATTAACAGTAACAATACTAAAGTGAAAGTCAAACGCCAGCAAACAAATATCCGATATAAAATTCCAAGATAGAATTATTTCGAGAATATGGCTTCCAGCTAAAAGCGCCATCTAAGCTACACTAAAAGTAGATAGGGTTTTGCAAACGTGAAAAAAACTAGATGTATATTTACCAAGAGTCGAAGGTGATCTTATGATTAGTGTACTCTAAGTCTCTGACTGTGAATGCGAGAGTTTGTGGTTGACAAATGTGGGCCGAACTTTGGAGCCATGGATATATTATAATAATGACAGTTAAGTAAAGTATTCAGTATTGTCTTTAAATTCAAAATTAGAGACAACTATTACCAGATAGCTCTTTGTCGAGCTATATGTAAAATATCTAGAGCAAACAAATAAACTAACTTTAAATCATGAGCTCTCCAATGATAAAAGAGTGAAATTATCATAATTTTCTTTAATTTAACAGCTTATTGGAAAAAAAAACATTTACAAGTTAAAACAATTTTTGAACAATATATACGTAAAATATAAATATAGTATGAATAAAACTCAATTTCACAAAAAGTACAAAATAGTTTCGATGTATTTGCATTCTCACTTTTTTGTTTGTTTTTAATTATGCACAAAGCTACACAAGGGCTATCTGTGCTCTGCCCACCACGAGTATCGAAACCCGGTTTCTAGCGTTGTAAGTCTACAAACCCCCGCTGTGCCGCTGGGGGTTTGTAGCTTTGCTCTAAAAATATATACAAATTCAATATTTTTTAAATATTCTACCTGGGCACAAGTGACGTTTAATATATTTCTGCAATATGTTGTTCACATTTTTCGATGCATACTCCTAATAACGTTTTAATAGTTTGGTGGTGCTCCAACACGCTTTACTCTTTTTTCTTTTATTTTGATGCAGAAACAACGACAAAATAATTATTATCTAAGATAGATTAAACCCCCTTTATATGTCTGTTTGTTTAGGCACAATGCTGCACAATAGGTTATCTGCGCTGCTTTCACTGCAGGGATCGAACCCATACTTTTAGTACTATAATCCTTCAAAATCACCACTGAGCCACTAGGAGCTTCATTACAATATTCTTTTGTTTTTCGAGAATGTATGAATTCTGAATAACTTTCGCAATATTGTTTTATAACAGTAATACAAGGTTGTTAGAATTTTAGGCCAAGTGTAGCTCAACGGTTAACGTGCCGGATTGTGATTGCAAGGTTCCATGGATTGCATCCTGTTACCTCCGAAAAAAAACAACAAAAACTAATAAATGGCTTTTGCCCGCGTTTTTAAAGAATTAAGTTTTCCCACAGGGCGTTTGTAAGGGCGTCATTTCATTTTCCTTTTGGCCCGGTATGGCCAGGTGGTTAAGGCACTCGACTCGCAATCTGAGGGTCGCGGGTTCGAATCCCTGTCACACCAAACATGCTCGCCCTTTCAGCCGTGGGGGCGTTATAATGTGACAGTCAATCCCACTATTTGTTGATAAAAGAGTAGCCCAAGAGTTGGCGGTGGGTGGGGATGACTAGCTGCCTTCCCTCTAGTCTTACACTGCTAAATTAGGGACGGCTAGCGCAGATAGCCCTCGTGTAGCTTTGCGCGAAATTCAAAAACAAACATTTTCCTTTTAACACGTGTAACGAGAGGAGACCTAGGATAATTCTTCTAGTTCTATATTTCTACCGCTTGATTAGCAGAAACATTAATAGATTTGGTTGTTTGAAGCATGTTTGGTGTGATGGGGATTCGAACCCGCGACCCTCAGATTGTGAGTCGAGCGCCTTAACCACCGGGCCATGCCGGGCACATTAATAGAATTGGGTTGTACAGAAAATGAAATTCTGTCTCAAATCTTTATTACGAAATATGTTTTTCATCTTTTGAAAGAAAATAGTTATACATTTTTGAAACAGAACACTGCAGGAGCATATTTTTAGTTTGAAAGTTTTGAGAATTTATATTCTGATCATAATGAGACTTTGAAGCTAGAAAAGTGTCAATAAAAATAAAATTCTGTTTTTACAATGTTTAGTTGTTTCTTAGCGCAAAACTATACAATGAGCTATCTGCGCTCTCTTCACTGCTTGGAATCGAACCCTAAGTTCAATTCGAAGTGAACGCTCTTAGCCAGGTAATTGCACTGTTTTGGAAGAGACGTTTCTGACCCGTCACTGTTACTCAAATATGTACTGTTTAGATGCGTGCTATATTTTGTGTTTAAACTATTAGATAGTGTTATTGTCAACACAAAGCAGCTGCTTGTTTCTGTGATAATTTAGCTGCATGTTTATTGGGGTATAAAAAACACGAAATACATTTTTTCTCCGAGTTTCTCTATTGTATGGTTACATGCTTAACTAGTGCTTGATTTTACACAGTAATATAATTGTTTATTTAGAGATACTACATGGTTCTAACACCGAAAGCGCAATCTGCACGTGTATCGGATATTTCAGTATAAACACACATGTGTTCTCACGAAATTTTCTTGATTCATGATTGGTTGCTTAAGTGAATGTTTCAAGATAAGACCAAATCATTGGCCTATAAAACACGAACGCAATTTCAACTTACAGTGAAAGCTGAAGTTAGAGGCATCCACATATCCACAAAAATCTTTAAAATGTCCAATTTTACTGGGTCCTACAAAATGGTTTCGAGCGAAAAGTTTGACGAATTCATGAAAGCTATTGGTGAGTAATCGTTGAGATGATTAGCCGTCTTTATAATTATTTATATTTAATAAGTTATATGAAATACTTTCTCATTTACTTTGGTCACGAGCACGTAGATAAATAGATTGAAATTTTAAAAGCAATAAACATGGAAATTTAATTTTCTACCATAATCGAATCGTTCCAAAATTTGGGTGATTTTTCACACATTGTTCATAGAGTTCAATTCCAAGAAAAATGTTACTTTAATATGAACTTTATAAGATGTGATGATGAGTTGGATATATGTATCATGTTTTAACAGTGACTAAAACAAAGGAAACTTGACGATGTTATTTTTAATGCCTAACTTCAAAGGGAAGGGTTAAGTGTCCAAACCTTATATACCTGCTTCCTTCCTTTGGTTCAGGCACTCGACTCGCAATCTGAGGGTCGCGGGTTCGAATCCCCGTCACACCAAACATGCTCGCCCTTTCAGCCGTGGGGGCGTTATAATGTGACGGTCAATCCCACTAGTCGTTGGTAAAAGAGTAGCCCAAGAGTTGGCGGTGGGTGGTGATGACTAGCTGCCTTCCATCCAGTCTTACACTGCTAAATTAGGGACGGCTAGCGCAGATAGCCCTCGTGTAGCTTTGCGCGAAATTAAAAAACAAACAAACAATTAGGCCAAAGAATGACAGGAGTTTTCTATCAGAATATCGGCTCATGTCTCGTTAGGGGTTATTTCTAATTCTAGAAGGGACATTGCCACGCACAGATCTTGGTGAACGTTAGTCGATATTAAAACTTTTATTTTTACGCTATCATCTGTTTTTAATTTTATAATTTTCTCGCACATCTACACAAATTGTTTGTTTGTTTTGGAATTTCGCGCAAAGCTACACGAGGGCTATCTGTGCTAGCCATCCCTAATTTAGCAGTGTAAGATTAGAGGGAAGGCAGCTAGTCATCACCACCTACTGTCAACTATTGGGCTACTCTTTTACCAACGAATAGTTGCTTTAATTAAAACAGGTGTCCAGACAACAATTGTAACAATAACTGACATCTGGTATTAAAGTTATTAACCATATAGAAATTGTTTATTTTCTTTCAAAGTCTGTAGTGCATACTGGAGGGGTTTACATATTGTGATCAAAGTTTAGATAAACGACCTTTACGACCTTATATAAACGATCTGGAGTGTAAAGGTCGTTTATCTAAATTTTTATCACAATATAGAAATTATGACGAATATAGAATTAACTGTCAAAGATTTAAACAATTGGTTATTTGAAATATGAATAATGTTTTTTTATATATATAATACCTACAATTATATTTTCTTATGTTCATTACATTCAAATAATTGATTTATCTTAAATATTGTTAAGCAACAGTTCTTTTTTATTGTTATGCAGCTGCAAAGACCGAGGTTTTTGATTATTCAATTTATGTAAAATCTTAAATCTTTGACAGATAATTCTATATATATTCCCCATAATTTCTATTTGGTTAACAACTTTAATACCAGATGTCAGTTATTGGTACGCTTGTTGCCTAGACACTTGTACGCTTGTTGTTGTTATAAAGCAGTATTCCACGGATAAATGAATTTATATTGCTCATTACATTGTTACTTGAAGAAGGCTCCAACGGATGAAATAAGAGTATTTTAAAGTAGATAAAAGTCCGTGTATAATTCTACATACAACTTATGTGCAATTTGTTATCACTAAGTGGACTGAACTTTGCATTTAAAAAAATCTTTACTTAATAATCCAAAATAATCATTCCAACTGGAAAAACCGTTAGAACAATATATGTATGTAATTTCAAAATAATTGTTTCTGAGCTTCTTTTCCTGGCTAACTTTATTTAAATTACTGCTGATATAATCACGTGCTTTATGTAATACGTTCTGTCAAATAATATGTTCTGTCTTCTGTGCATTTGAAAAGTTATGTCAGTCACATGTGTATACCCGGAAATTATTTCTCGGGGGAAATTGACTCAGAGCACATAACAATAGAATAATAGCAGTGGAGTTTGTAATTCATCCCCTTTTATTATTATTATTATATCATTTCTGGTCTGATCCTGGCGAACCGTGATTGGCTGTGAGAAGTGGCGTGTCGTTGAGTGTTGCTCCGATTCATGGGAAAATATATTATGAGTCCGTTTCTGTGGGTTCCTTACTGTACGTTAGACTTTAAAGCTAAGGCTGTTTTATGAAGGAAGATTAAAAGTTAGAAGTTCAATATTAATTTTGGTCGGAAAATGTCTGATTTAACAGGAAGATTCAAATTCTTATCGACTGAAAATTTTGAAGAGTTTTTAAAAGCAGTCGGTAAGTCGCCAAGCTTGTTTTGGATTTAAGTATATACAACTTTTTTATTTATTTTATTTTGCCGGTATTTTCAATTTCATGTAATACAATTTATAAAACCAGGATTTTTTTTCCAAGTTGTTTGGGTGAGGACTGCTGTTACCTTCATCGAGTAATTTTCGAACTACAGTGATGCTGTAAAGCACAAAAAATATATCGGTGGTTCAGCAGTGCTTATAATGCTCAGTTCGAGGCTCGAACCCAGCCTCGGTCATTACACAAATATTTTATTATGCAGCTTTGAACTAGAAACAAAGGTGAAACGGTTATTATAGCCTTTAGGTGACATTTAATTATACATTTTAACGACTGGTTTTGAATAATTATTACTACAATATTAGTACCAACATTATTTTTTTATCTTGAATAAGTAATTAATAATAATATGTACATTTTTAGCTGTTAAGCTAAAGTGTGGCGTCTGGGGTTAATTTTCAAACTACTTATGCGAATTTATTTAGTTTTATGTAGTTATTTATAATTTAGTATTATTTAGTAATTTACAACAAATTACAATATGTACTGTACATACTTAGATGTTTTGTCTTCATTAATTGTTATTAAAGCTAAATTCATGAATATATTTGTATGTATATTACTTATTGCATACCAGTAACACTGTATCATGTGTATGTCGGCATTTGTTTTCTTTCTTTCATGCACGAACTATTCTTCATGTCTTATCTGGCTTTCATTAAATTTTACTGAAGTCTATGTCATAGGTAATACAGATTTTGCAACCCAAAAGTTTGGTCCTTGGTGAGTAAAGTACAATATAAAAAAAAGTTGTTAAAAGCTTATTTAGAGCTAAGACTTTAGGCATACAGACTCTTGCTGGTAACCTTTATATTTGTATAATACTAATAATAATTAAACATGCAATGGAGAGTAAACTTTTTTTTTTAGAATTTTGTTTGTAATCATATTTTCCATTAATTTGTGTAACATCTAGAAGATACAGTTGTTGGCTCAAAAATAATCATTTTAATTTTTCTAAATTTATTTCACAGTATATGTACATCTGTAAATCCTGTTGAGGTTTTATGTGAGTTAACATGTTAAGCAAAAAACTACTTCATGCTCAAGTTAATATAAAATCAGAAAAATAAAGTTGGTGTTACACCTCACTGGCATTTCTCTCAAATCTAATCAATCCCACTAAGTATCAAAAAAGGAAACATTATTGGCATAATCCATTGGGTTTCTCTCAGAAATTACTAGTCCTATTAATCAATGAAGGACAGAAATTAGTGTCGTAATCCATTGGGTTTCTCCCAGAAATTATTTGTTCTATTAATCCATTAAGTACACAAATTAGTGTCTTAAGCAATTGGGTTTCTTTCAAAAATTACTAGTCCTATTAATCCATAATGGACACTAGTGTCATAATCCATTGGGTTTGTCCCAGAAATTATTTGTTCTATTAATCCATAAAGGACACAAGTTAGTATCATAATCCACTGGGTTTCTCTCAGAAATTACTTGTCCTATTAATCAATGAAGGACACAAATTAGTGTCATAATCCATTGGGTTTTTTCAAAAATAATGCAAGTAATCTAAGAAAAGAAATAAATGAGGTGCATAATCTGTTGGTTTGGAAAACCTAGAATTTTGCTTGAAAAGTTGGATATTTTTAAGAGACAGAAAGAAGATAGCTAACTTGTAATCAGAAGTAGTTAATAATTAATGTCTGTATTGGTAGCTTTAGTCTTTAGATAAAACTGTATTTGATAGACTGTTTTTAAGCATCAATTATCTATGTATTAATTTTGTGATATTGTATATATTGAAGGCCCAACATTTTTATGAAATGAGTACTTTTTGTGTTATTTACATTTAAAACAATTACTACATTAAGCATTGAAATTAATGAAGTTGGTAAATCAGAAAAGAAGAAAATTGGTATTTTAGGAATGCATTTATAACATATGTTGCATTGTGTAGAATTATAAATGGACTTTTCTCTATGTTATAATACTTTTGTTGCGAGCCATCAGCCCTCTTACCGAAGCCTTCATTGGGCAACAATGCACTGAGTGAAAAAATTTGTTAAATAATTTTTTTTGCTCAATGTGTTGTTGCCTGATGAAGGCTCTGGTAGGAGGGCCGAATGCTCACAATAAAAGTATTTTACTGAAGAGAAAAGTCTGCCTATAATTCTACATATTAATTTACCATCATTCTGAGCCTTCAACAACAAGTATATTGCATTGTTGAAAAAAAGATAACTAGTATAAAAAAAAGTTCTTTTGATGATAGTGTTTGGTTTACGTGTACTTTAAGTGAAGTACCTGTTTTGATAAGATGTATTGTAACATTAGATTATGTGAGAAGAAAGATTAAATACTGACCATCTCGTTGGTAGTTAGTTCTACCATTTTTATGGGCTTAAATTATGACCATTCAGCATTTAAAGATTTACAATGAAATTTGTTTTGTTTAGATTAGATAACTGTTTTTATTCGTGTCCCTGTAGATATTTTGATTTAGATTGCTTGTGTACATATAACAACAAATTTCTGAGTTCTTTTAGATATCAGCTACACAATGTTTAAATAGCTCTGTACTTGGGTTTCAACAAGGCTCATCTTTATTCGTCATCATTTTGTAAATTATTCACCTTTTATTGATGTTATAGAAATAGCAATTAGTTGCACACCTTCTTAAGAGTGACATGTTTCATATGAAATAAAAAAATGACTTTGCATTTCTTGTACTTTCACTTTTATCTGACATGTTATTAACAAAGTGATATTTAGAGGGGATGGTGTAGTTACAACTTGGATTACTACACATCATTAAAGATTGTTATTGGATTTGTTTAAAGAATGAAGTGATTGAACAATTTAAGAACGTTCTTTTGAAAATTTAAAAACTTCAAAGCTCCTTACCCATTCTCCTGCACATGATGCTCATCTTTGTAACAGTCAGTGACAAAAGAGCAACCAATAACAGTTCCTGTGATCTTGCAAATGGAAAATAATTTCTATTCATTACTTTTGTTGGAAATGTTGGTTATACATGTAGGTCTTTTGTGATAATATCAGGATTTTATGATTTGGTTTGGTGATAATGAATTTTTACCATGCAAGATTTAGGTACAGATAGTTAAAACTTGTCAAGTTGATACACTCCATATAGAAATTTTGATGGATTGGTTTATCTAAGTTACAGTTTAAAAGAACCAATTTGTATTATCTGAAGGAAACTGTTAGGCCAAATTTAAGCATGGCAGAATCATTCAGTAATCTACTATGAAGATATTTCTATAGGAGATAATACTACTTGAATTCTACCCGTAGTTAAACATGACAAAGTTAGTCAGTAATTTTTGATGAAGATATTTCTATAGGAGATAATACTACTTGAATTCTACCCGTAGGTTAAACATGACAAAGTTAGTCAGTAATTTTTGATGAAGATTTTTTTGTGGGAGACAAATTACTTTAAACTTGCACAAAATGTTTGATAAATGTACATATTACAGATAATATTGTAACTCTAAAAAAATGACAACTTTGACCTGGAGATGTTAAAAGTGTAAGTAAATAGAAATAATAAATATGTCAGAAAGTCATAAAATTAGGCTTATTGCATTTTATATTGTGCCCATAAATTATATTTATTTTTCCTTCCCAAAGATATAAAAAGATAAAACAAGTGAATAGTATCCGGTTATCAAGTTTTATATAAACCAGTTACTGTCTAACACTTCACTTATGCTTGTATTTTTATTTTAAGCAGATTATAATAAGTTTTGTTTTTTGCGTGTGAAAATAATTCACTTTGTCTACTAAAGAAAGTATTACATTAGATACTTAATAAACAATTTATCTGTTTGAAATGTACAAACTTGTGTTAATTAAAATTATGATCATAGAGCAACATTTATTTTCATACTTTAGAAGATCAAATTTTTGTTAATACTCCAGTAGTAACACATACAAGAAGTTTTACTGCTTAAACTTATTTTTATGGAAGAGTGTAAGTTTTAAGGAATGATATCATAAAAACTTTACGGTCTTGTGAAACAAACAAGTTTAGATACCCTATCATTGCTACAACTTTTATGTATATTTTTTTAACAATAGCTATCACCATGTTCTTGTTTTTTAGCCATGAGATGGGGCTGTGTGTGAGTTCCAAATGTTAAGTTCATTCTCTCTTGTAACATGTACAACTCAGAGTTTGTATAAAGTGCTAGTGCTGAGAAATCACAGTAACTTTTTAAGAACACTTGTCGTCATACAAACTTTCAGTGTAAGGCTGCATGCACACTACAAGCTGAGAGCAATTGTATTTGACAATCTCAAATAGTTGTTCTTGTTGGATCTCATAAGTTTCATGTTGTAAATACAGGAAGGAATAATTGATGTGAATTTTACCATTTGTATCCTTATGTTTGTACACTACATAACTGTTGCAGTGGTGTTTTTCTCGGCAAGTATGGTGACCTCAAGAGTACTTGACTAATTAACCCTATGCATGTTGGTAATGGTCAAAGGGCACATGCCATGACCTCTTACAGAGTGCCATTCAACATGGTATTATGTATTTCATGTCATAGTTACTAACTGTTCATTTTACCCTATATTGCTGATTTAGTGACAGTTTTTAGTAGAGGAGAGTAAATACCATATACAGTTTACAGGGATACTGAAGAAACTGGATATGTATTTCATAGATTCTAGATGTTATGTAAATTCAAACTATACATTGGACAAAGGTATTTTTATTCTTCACTTGAACATCATCATATACTCAAACCTTCCAGCATGTAATCAATTTATACACAAATTTTGTTACAAGTACTTTTGTAACTAATTTTTTGTGTATAACAACCTGTACATTTTATTAAAAGCTTGCTACATTTCATGTAGATACACATAGAAAATTCAGTTATAGTCAGTATTCCTTCTCCTATAAAGGGTTACTCCAGTGGACTTCAATGTGTTGTTGATTTTCACCAGTAGAATGACCAACACATGTACTTGTCTGTGTCTTCAAAGCAGCTCTAAATCAACAATGCTGGTTTACTCTTATTTACATTTGTAATATGAACACTGTATGATCTCCTATATCTAATTACATCACTTATTATTGGCTTGTAATATAAATTATCCTCACAGCTGAGTAAGGATTACAGAATTTGTAAATATATATATATATATATATATATATATATTTACTATTTACTTGTAAGTGTAAAAGATAATGTGAATGTAATCATATTCACTTTGCCCTTGGAGAGAGTTTAAAGTTTAAGTACAGGATGATTCTTCACTTTGGTTTTTATTGTTGGCATGGTGATAGTAACCTTATCAACAGAGATGGGAACTTGTCCTTGAAAAGTAGCATAAGGGGATTAAGTTGCGAATATATTTTATTATAAATAAAATGGTTTAACAGAAAAATGATAGAAATATATATATATTGAAAAATACTACAAAAATATAACATATAACTGTATAAACTTTCAGCATTATGTTGAGAGAAAGTATATGTGAGGTATTAAGAAAAAATAGTAAAGAAAAACACCCAAACTGATAAGTCTGTCACATATGAACTTGTATGCTGGTGAAAAACGTATGTTTAATATAACTGACTCAGAGTTAACTGATGTTTTTCAATATCTAATAAGACTCTGTTTTCACCACAAGGTTTCAAGCTTTACTTTCTGGCGATGAGCTCTTGAAAAGTTTAAAGATTTGTGGTTTAAAAAATCTTATTACCTTTGTTTCATTTATTTGATTAAAACATACATAAATGACAATGAAGTGTTATTTATGTACAATAAATTTGGACAGAATAATTAAAAAGAAATGACTACTAAAATCATTTTCAGCCTATTAAGAAGAAAAGTAAATGTTAACGTATATTGGCAGGGTTTTTTCCTAAGTGTAAAGTAAATGTTAACGTATATTGGCAGTGTTTTTCCTAAGTGTAAAATAAAAGGTTAACGTATATTGGCAGGGTTTTTTCCTAAGTGTAAAGTAAATGTTAACATATATTGGCAGTGTTTTTTCCTAAGTGTAAAATAAAGGTTAACGTATATTGGCAGTGTTTTTTCCTAAGTGTAAAGTAAATGTTAACGTATATTGGCAGTGTTTTTTCCTAAGTGTAAAGTAAATGTTAACGTATATTGGCAGTGTTTTTCCTAAGTGTAAAGTAAATGTTAACGTATATTGGCAGTGTTTTTTCCTAAGTGTAAAGTAAATGTTAACGTATATTGGCAGTGTTTTTTCCTAAGTGTAAAGTAAATGTTAACATATATTGGCATTGTTTTTTCCTAAGTTTAAAGTAAATGTTAACGTATATTGGCAGTGTTTTTTCCTAAGTGTAAAGTAAATGCAGTTGTTATTGTATGGGAAGAGAGAGGACGATAAGATTATAAAGTAGAAGTTGTGAAAATTTGCTCATTACTAGGAATAAACTCTCTCCTGATATTTTGTTTATGTGAAGAAAATGTGTAGATATGAAAGTAAAGTAATAAGCTTGATATATGCCATCGGAAATTAGCGTATGTTTACATTTTGTAGAAAGATGAAGAAGTCTCTGTAAACTTGACCTACTTTGAGCTGTTGCTTCATATTTTCAATAAGGAATGTTTTTAATTTCCTGGGTTAGAAGTTTTCAGAAGATAATGTACAAATAAATTTGACTGTTTCTTTTGTGGTACATATGCATAACCTTTTTTAATATGAACCTTTTGAAAAATTTCATTTCATCATTAAATTTCCTATCACTGGCATAACTAAAACCAAACTACTACATATAACTCTTTTGATCATTGAGACAATTCTTGAAAAGAAACTTTGCAACACTATAAATTTTATTACTGATGTTTTTAAACTCTGGAAATTTAATTAATTATATTTGATACACCACATGATCTATTTTCAGGCTCTGTAAGCTATGTGTAGGTTTAAATCTGGTTACTGTTACATGCCTATCCTACTTTGCAAAGGTAAGAAGACACCATGAAACAAAAGACAGTTTAATAAAGCAGCTCAGTTATGAGAGAACACATTCCATGATTCTGTATTCAAGAAGAAGAGTTTACATTGACCAGGAAAGATAAGATAAAGATTGAACTCCAACACCACTGTTATTGCCCTAACACTTAAAGTACTTAAAGAAGTGAATGGTGTATTGTCTAATAAGTATTTTGATAACCATTTCAGGAAAACAATACTGTTGTCTCTTATTAAGAGAAGGACTTGCAAAGTCAGAACAACAAGATAAATATTGAACACCAGCACCATTGTTATTGCTCAGTACTTAAAGAAATGAATGGTTTACTATGTAATAAGTACTTGGTTATTAGTTTTTCAGTATAATAGGGCTGTAGTCTGTTAGCAAAAGAATAAGATACAACAATACTGTAGTTTATTAGCAAGAAAATGACTTACAATTTGGAATTAGATACAACAATACTGTAGGTTGTTAACAAGAGAATGACTTACAGAGTTAGAGAGATCCAACAGTACTGAAGGTTGTCAACAAGAAAATGACTTACAAAGTTGGAAAGATACAACAATACTGTAGGTTGTCGGCAAGAGAATCACTTACAAAGTTAGAAAGATACAACAGTACTGTAGGTTATTAACAGGAGAATGACTTGCAGAATTAGAAAGATACAACAGTACTGTAGGTTGTCGGCAAGAGAATGACATACAAAGTTAGAAAGATACAACACTACTGTAGGTTATTAACAGGAGAATGACTTACAGAGTTAGAAAGATACAACAATACTGTAGGTTGTCAACAATTCTTGTATGTTATTATATGTGTGGATATTGTATTAGTCTTAAATATTGTATGGGTATTATGGCAATTCTTATTATATGTGTGGGTATTGTATTAGTCTTGAATATTGTATGGGTATTATGGCAACTCTTATTATTATATGTGTGGGTATTGTATTAGTCTTGAATATTGTATGGGTATTATGACAACTCTTGTATGTTATTATATGTGTGGGTATTGTATTAGTCTTGAATATTGTATGGGTATTATGGCAATTATTATTATAGGTGTGGGTATTGTATTAGTCTTGAATATTGTATGGGTATTATGACAACTCTTGTATGTTATTATATGTGTGGGTATTGTATTAGTCTTGAATATTGTATGGGTATTATGACAATTCTTGTATGTTATTATATGTGTGGGTATTGTATTAGTCTTGAATATTGTATGGGTATTATGACAATTCTTGTATGTTATTATAGGTGTGGGTATGGTGATGCGAAAGTTAGGTTCCACTTCAAAACCAACAGTGGAAATTTCAAAGGAAGGAGATAAGTGGAAGATAAAGACAATTACAACATTCAAAACAACAGAGATTGAATTCAAATTGGGGGAAGAGTTTGAAGAAACTAGGATGGATGGTTCTGTTGTGAAGGTAAATTCTTCTTTAGATAATCCACTAATATAGTTCATATAATATACAGATTGGTACTTCATACACTAATATAGTTATGTAATACACATATTGGTTCTTCATCCCCTTCTATAATTCGTGTAGTACATATATTGGTTCTTCATCCACTAATATAGTTCATATAATATACAGATTGGTACTTCATACACTAATATAGTTATGTAATACAC